CGGGTAAACCAGGATTTGGGTAGGTTTCTGAGGTCGTATTGCCAGGGCCGGCCGGAGGAGTGGGCGAGGTATGTTCCCTGGGCCGAGATGGCCCAGAACTCCCTTCGCCACTCCTCCACCAGACTCACTCCTTTCCAATGTGTACTAGGGTACCAGCCGGCTCTGGCACCTTGGCATCAGAGCCAGATCAAGGCTCCTGCAGTGGATGAGTGGGTGCGGCGCTTGGAGGAGACATGGAACGCTGCTCACGTACATCTGCAGCGGGCCATCCGTCGACACAAGGCAAGCACCGATCTCCACCGCAGTGAGGGACCGGTGTACGCACCGGGAGATCGAGTCTGGCTCTCGACCAGAAACCTGCCCCTCCGCCTGCCCTGCCGGAAGCTGGGTCGGCGGTTTGTGGGGCCTTTTAAAGTCCTGAGGAGGTTGAAAGAGGTGTGTTACAGATTACAACTTCCTATTGATTATAAGAATATTAACCCCTCGTTCCATGTGTCTCTCCTCAGGCCGGTGGTAGCTGGTCCCTCCAGGACTGTAAGATAGCAGAGATTCCTCCGCCCCCGCTGGACATCGAGGGGGCTCCGGCGTACACAGTTCGGTCCATCCTGGATTCGAGACGCCGGATGGGGGGTCTCCAATATCTTGTGGAAAGGAAGGGGTACGGTCCGGAGGAGCGGTGCTGGGTGCCGAGGAGAGATATCTTAGACCCGTCCCTTCTGACTGAGATCCATCGTGGTCATCCCTCGCGCCCTGCTCCGCGTCCTCCTGGTCGTCCCCGAGGCCGTCAAGGGGGGGGTACTGTCACGGTTTCTGCCGAGGCTGCTCCTTCTCCTTGTTCGGGCAGGCTTCGGCGGTCGTCGTCCCCGGAGTACTAGCTGCCACCATTTGTTGTTTCTGTGTTCGTTTGGTTTGGTCTGTTTTGGTACACCTGTTTCTCATTTTGTCTTGATTATGTGTCCTTTAAGTTCTCGTTGTTTCTGTCTTGTGGTTGTGTGTAGTTGTTCATTGTCAGCAGGTGTTTCCATGTCAAGTTTGTGCTCTATTTCTGTAGAGAGTCCGCACTATTGTGCGTGTTTTGTTTATTACGCTGAGTGCGTTATTTTTCTTGTGCCTCCGGCTCTGTTTGTAGCCGTTCATTCTGTGGACTTTAATAAAGTATTTTGGACTACTTCTGCATCCTGCATCTGATTCCCACACCACCCCTACGCCAGCTTTGACATCAGGTACTCAGATTGGGAGTGAACGTTGTTTATGTGCAGAGGAATGTGTGTAGTTTGGACAAGAAACTCTTGTCAATATAGATGTATATAATGTATTCAGACAGTCATGACATTTTATCCTCACTGATACTATAATGTATAATATAAATAGCTTGTTCTTCTAGGAGTGTTCTCTGTCAGAGGACCACTGTTATGGAACGGCTTGTCCAGTCAGGTAGAGGGCCAGAAACCATTGAGGTCATTAAATCAAGCAGGAAAATCTACCTTTTTACCTTGGCCTTAAATCTTAATCTGTGATTGTATTGTTATTTTAGACTTCCTTAGTGATTCTATGTTTTCCTCTTGTATTGTATCTCTTGTATCTCAGCCCATTGTTTAGACATACTGTTTAACAGTGAGCCAACTAAGTGGCTTTGTGCTTAGTGACCACCCTGAGATTAGAAGGTTGAGGGTTTGATCCCTAGTCGAGTCACACCAATTACTAAAAAAATGGGACCGAATGCCTCTCTGCTTGTTACCCAGCATAAAGGAGATGGATTGGGTTAAGTGTCCTGTCCAGGAGGTGTACTTTGTACATCAAGCTGCCTTCCGCTATAGAATCAGGAAATAAGCTTCTGCCCCTATGAGCCATTCTGACTAAGCCAACAAGGATTACTTACTTACGTATTGTTCTACTGTAAAGTTTGTTGCAATTTAAATGTTTTTCAGAGAAAATTAGAGTTGATCAGCCCCCATTTTGAAGTCATTTTTCTCTATTTGCAATAATGTATAATTGTATTATTGTTTTATTTTTCTTGTTTGAATAATTTTTCCTAAATGTATGATTGTTGTGGTATTAACTGTAACCCATGAAACAAACAATAAGATAACATAACTTCTTAAACATTGTATGTAATGTAGGTTAATTACGTTCTACAGTATTTCTTGAGATTCATCAGCATACTGTGTTTATAGCTATAATGTACCAGCATGTACCAGTAGGGCTGTGTCAAATCATCAAACCAATTTATCATTAAACATTGACTGATTCATAACATTATTTAAAATTGAGCTTTTATTAATGGTACAAAGGGTGGTTTACACAACTGTCATCAAAGGTCAACTCTTTGAAATTGACTACAAATTAAACATACTGCAAATGTATTCACTCTTGGTTCCTGAAATAATCAAAGAAACAAAAAAGCACAAGCCAGACACTGTATATGGGATTGGTTAGGAACTCTGGGAATTATACTCCTTTAAACTGTAGAAAACAAACTGTAATCGCTGTCCATAAAAAAAGATTGCTTGTTTCTGTCAGGTTGCAACTTCCAATGGTGGACCGACTGAATGCTCTCACTGTTCTTTCATTTCTTTCTCCTGGTTCCAGTTGTCTTGTTGGTAAAGTTCACTGCAGTGTATTGTAGCCAGTCACCCTGAGAAGAAACATGGAGAAAAAAACAAAAATTCCTAATATGAGTGAATAATTCCCACAAGGCTTTGTTACAGAACAGTAGAGTGGCATAGCAGGCATCTCAAATTGCTGGTCTCAGTAAAACATATACTGTATGTGTGCCATTCAGGGGGTGTTTTTATTTAAGTTATTTTGAACGGGGTAGGCGCACCGGTTTGAGTGTGTCAAGAACTGAAAGGCTGCTGGGTTTTTCACGCTCAACAGTGTCACGTGTGTAACAAGAATGATCCACAACCCAAAGGACATCCAGCCAACTTCGCACAAATGTGGGAAGCATTGGTGTCACGATCGTCGAACAGAGATGAGGACCAAGGCGCAGCGTTGCAGGCAAACATACTCTTTATTAGAGACACGATCAAAAAACAACAAAACGAAAACGTGACAGAAAATCCCACCAAAACTGGACCAAGCAGCGAGTCGAGGAGCCATCGCCAGGGAAATCCCTAGCAGATCTCCGTGGCAGCCTCGACTGGGTCAAGCCGAGTGAAGAGCAGAGAGAGTGGACTTGGGAACAATGGAGGAAGAGCTTCGACTGGGTCAAGCCAATTGAGGAGCTGAATAGCGGGAGTTGGAGGCAGAAGAGCGAGAGTTGGGCGAGAACTATAGAGGCCTGGCCCACGGGGAGGAGAGACCCCCAGAACATTTTTAGGGGGGGGGCTCACGACGTCGGGGCAGCAGGAGGCCGCGATAGAGCAGTCCAGCGGGTTGGCAGAGGAGGCCGCCAGGTTACGGGGGCCACTGGTAGAAGAGGGGATGGAAGGTGTAGAGGCACGGCGAGAGGTACTGGGGTGTGTTACCAGTCCGGTCCGGCCCGTTCCAGATCCCGGTGTAGGGCCAGTGGTGTGTGTCCCCAGTACGGTCCGGTCTGTTCCTGCTCCCCGCACCAAGTCAGTGGTGCGCTTCGTCAGCCCGGCTCGGCCCGTTCCTGCTCCCCGCACCAAGTCAGTGGTGCCTTCGTCAGCCCGGCTCGGCCCGTTCCTGCTCCCCGCACCAAGTCAGTGGTGCGCTTCGTCAGCCCGGCTCGGCCCGTTCCTGCTCCCCGCACCAAGTCAGTGGTGCGCTTCGTCAGCCCGGCTCGGCCCGTTCCTGCTCCCCGCACCAAGTCAGTGGTGCGCTTCGTCAGCCCGGCTCGGCCCGTTCCTGCTCCCCGCACCAAGTCAGTGGTGCGCTTCGTCAGCCCGGCTCGGCCCGTTCCTGCTCCCCGCACCAAGTCAGTGGTGCGCTTCGTCAGCCCGGCTCGGCCCGTTCCTGCTCCCCGCACCAAGTCAGTGGTGCGCTTCGTCTGCCCGGCTCGGCCCGTTCCTGCTCCCCGCACCAAGTCAGTGGTGCGCTTCGTCAGCCCGGCTCGGCCCGTTCCTGCTCCCCGCACCAAGTCAGTGGTGCGTTTCGTCAGCCCGGTTCGGCTCACTCCTGCTCCTCACACCAAGCCAGTGGTGTGCGTTGTCAGTCCAGCACGGCCCGTGCCTGTTCTCCACGCCAAGCCAGTGGTGGGCGTCGTCAGTCCGGCACGGCCCGTGCCTGTTCCACTGGTGCCTGGTTCGGCACTGGTCAGATGTTTTACGCCGGAGCTAGAGCAATCCGCTCCATCGGTGTGCAGTCCAGCTCCGGCCAGCGGGGCCAGACCGGACCAGGGGTACTTTGGGGGGTTGGAGAGGGAGCGGGGATCAGGCCCGGAGCCGGATCCGCCGCCTAGGCGGAGTGCCCACCCGGTCCCTCCCCTGTGGTATTTGGTTGACGCGGTCGGAGTCCGCGCCTTTAGGGGGGGGTACTGTCACGCCCTGGCTCTGGGGACACTGTTATGTTGAGCCAGGGTGTGTAGATCAATGTGTTTTTGTTTCTATGGGTGCTATTTCTATGTTGGCCAGAGTGGCTCCCAATCAGAGGCAACGAGTGTCAGGTGTTGCTGGCTGTCTCTGATTGGGAGCCATATTTATACAGTCTGTTTTTCATTCGTGTTTGTGGGATTTTGTTTCCAGTCGGTTTGTGTTAGACCGTGAACTGTCACGATATCGTTTTGTTGTTTTGGTCATTTGACGCTAAATAAAGAGTATGTTTGCCTGCAACGCTACGCCTTGGGTCCTCATCTGTTCCTGACGATCGTGACAATTGGAGTCAACATGGGCCAGCATTCGTGTTGAATGCTTGCGACAATGCTTTTGTCCATGCCCCGATTAATTGACGCTGTTCTGAGGGCAAAAGGGGGTGCAACTCAATGTTAGGAAGATTTTCTTAATGTTTTGTACACTCTGTATATATGCACCACTTAAATAATACTGAACCTTCTCTTACAATTTCGACAATATAACTCATAATATTCACCACCTACCAATATTCAGGTTTGTTCCGTTGCCAAACAGGATCTCCCCACATGTGGCCACAGCACAGTAGTAAGTCCCAGCATCAGAGAGACTGAGGTTGTTCTTGGAGAGGCTGTAGACACAGCTCTTTGTAGGAGAGGGAGTCACAGGGCTTTTCTCACACTCATCTCTCCTGTTCCCAGGGGTGTAAATGACTCCTGGATGGGATTCCCCTGATCCGGCTCTGAACCAGTACACACTGTGTTCTCCTGTACAGGTCTCAGAGAGTACTGTACACTGTAGAGTCACATAGTCTCCTGGATGGACTGGGGCGGAAACTGGTCGCTGCACCAATGAAAGGTGATTGTGTCCTATATTGTGTAATTGTATTGAGAAAATAATTATTCATAAGCTTGTAAAGTTGAGACGTCATAGAATTTTAAATGGTAAACATTCCTTTAGGCACATGGCAGTTTTGGAAACAGCATTTTGTTTGTTCGAAAATAGTTGTGCGGTTGCTAATTACCTGTAAACATTTTATTTATTTGTCAGTAATTGTTCTAATTTATTCGCCCCACAGTCAGCCAAAATGCTTAGCTAGCCAGCTTAAGAGTTGTTTACAGTAAAAGTTAGTTAGCTGCCGTTTCTACACTCTTTTGCTACGTTGTCATTTCAAAAACCTGTCTGCAAAAATGACAAGTTGTCTTTATATTTCACCATTATGACACGCATCCATGAATATCCACTTTCTATGCATACTGCAGCCAGATTGTCTATAATTTTTCTGAACATCTACAACACATGGCAGTGTGCATCTACTGTATGTATAGTATCGTATATGAAGATTATGTCTTTGTTAAATGTTTTTCATGAAGAAATGGAATGTTGTTTATGTTAGTATATGTTTTGTGTAACGTCACATACCACAGACCGGAAGTGTGTTGTAGACAGGGGAGACTGGGGATTGGCCAGAAGAGGGAGCATCATTGTTATAAATAGGGGGGAAAACGAAGAAGAAAGTCAGAACGAGCAGCCATTCTGAGGCGTCACTCTCCGGGTGTCATGTCACCTGTAACTTATGCTGTAACCTCGTGATTTTAATAAAAGCCTCTAACACGATGCAGCATAAATGGACTCTTTGTTGACAGCAATAACTGGCCACCACTCATCCGATACGACATAATGGCACCCCAGATGGGACTGGTCTGCGCCTCTTCTTTGTTTCAGTCAACCGCCAAGCTAACTCGCTTTGAAGCATGGCCAGATAAGGGTAAGTTTTCCTTACCGCTTTGGAGTTTGTTAGATTGGATACGACTTGTGTACACTGGAGAGATGTACCATTACGACCTTGCCTCGGGTGGCGTTATTGCTGTTGACTAGAGTCTGTTAAAATATATTCCATTGGTAACGGCAGGCAATGGGAAATTTAGAGCATTAAACGGTAGGAATTAAGTATTGAAGTGTACAATTAAGGCAGATATGCGCATTCTTTAGGGCACTGTACCGCTTTAAGACCTCCAGGGGGGGCCATTTTAGATGTTGGGCCGGCAAATCCGTTTGAACGATAGAATGGGCAGACGGTGGGTTTTTTAAAAGGGAAAACTCTGATTAATGGGGTTTATCTGATTGTGATTATGATTCGACTCTCGTCCGACGGGATGTTTGATTGGGTTTGATTTCTCGGTGTAATGGTCATTAAGTCACGGTAGCAAAAACGGTAGGATAAATATGTTTAAAGGGAATAAGGGCAGTGCAGGATATTTATTTGTATGGTAGGCCGCAGTTAGCTAAAGGCTAAGGCTAATGTTAATGCTAAATGGGAGTGTGTTTCATGCTACATGGTACATGGCGGCTAATGCTAATGCTAATTGTGTTGCGTGCTACATGCTAATGGATATCCTTAGAGACCCCATTGCGATGGATTAAAGTCTCTTAAACTTGTCTCTGTGTGTAAGTCAGGTTATATGTTTTGTGAGCGCTGTTAAATGTTGTTTGACTATAAGGGGGAAACGGGAGGTACAGCTGGACTGTTATTCTGTCTGTTTGGGGAGGGAGTAGAAAATCTTCCTTCCACGGTGAAAAGGTATTTTTGAATGGCTGTGCGCATGTGCATGATTTTGCGACACTACACTACAGAAAGGGGGAGTTTATGACACGAGATTAGGACACGTTTTGGTTTACGGCACTAAAACTACGACATGCGGTTGTGCTAAGCCTACAAAACACTGCATTATGGGTAAAGGTCATAGGTCCCATCTGGGGGCTGCATGGGGGAGACAGAGAAATGGACACAGACAAAGAGGAGAGATTTTAACACGAGTATTCTAGTTTAAACTGCGGTTGGTTAAAGATGAAACTTGTTTTGTGACCTATTGAATTTATAAATTAAATATATGTTGACGGAGTATAATGAATTAAATTAAATGACGGATTAAAATAAAATAAAAATGTTTTTGAGCGATCTATTTAGTTCTGAGGTTAATCTTAGAGTGAATAATGGGTGAACGAAGGAATATTGAATATGGTTGAAATAACTCAGTGATTGCATTAACTACTAAAATGTGATTCTGTGTCTCTGTTTTTCTGTCATATGAGAGGAGCAATACGATACGACAGGAGAGAGGAGGGGCTAACGTGTGACTGACGTGCGTCACGTGACAAGGTGTGACGCGGCAGAGGATCAGATCAGGCTAGTTCACAAAATCATCCTAACAAAATATGTGATGTTATGACAATTTTACATAGGCTTGGCAAATGATTCATTAAAAATTTCATTTTGGAGGCTCTGTATCACTGGGGTTTGATGGGAGTTGTGTTGGGAATCAAGGACTGACATTATTCTGTAAATTTAAGATAATTAGGTGCCTATAGAGCAAGGGGGTTTATGGGAATTGTAGTATTGAAGGGTTAGAGGCTTTGTTTTTGGGATTGCTTTGAAGTTGACTAACTTACATTTACTTGCATTTGATGGGTTGTGGTAAGATAGCCAACACTAATTGATAAATTGGTGATATAGGAATACAAATTGGTTTTAATTATTCATGATTTTTAATTGATTTATTAAAAAAAAAAAATTACAGTGGGGAAGCCATAGGCTATATAGGCTAATATAAAATAATTCACAATAAAGGAATATAAAAGGGTTGATATAGGGGAAAAATAGTAATCCTTTAACGAAAGTAGTGTTAGGAGAAACTAATGGCAGAAGTTAGTACACCTTTCTCACATACGGATTCAGCAAAAAGTAGAGCTTAGGGATGTTTATCCTCAGCTTCCGGTGATCATCCAGGAGGGTGATTGTTGCATAAGAGATGAAGATGAATAATAGATAGAGGACAAGCAGAAACGACGATGAAGATGAATCCAAAACTCCAGAAGGGTGAAAATGTGATGTCTGGAAGAAAAGAGGGAGGTTAAGGAGGATGGAACTTAAAGAAGATGAGGATGATGAAGATGAGTGATGATGAAGAGGTCATGGGTGGAGATGACTCTGTGATCAGAAGGAAGTTGGCAAGAGAGGAAAGAAGAAGGATACTAGAGATTTGATCTCTGATGGAAGTTGAAGGAAGAAGGATACACGAGATTTGATCTCTGATGAAAGCAAAGATGAAGAAAGCGATGAAGATTTGGAGATTAAAGGTGCTTTATGTTCAAGAGGATTTTATCCTACAATGACTAGCAAAGAAGAAATAGATATATAGACCGATGTTTATCATGCCTGGATAAAGCAAATAGTTTAGAAGAAGTAACACAGCTGAAGATACAGAAGAGGAGAAACTGCTGAGAGGATCCCAAGAATTGGAGAACAACAAAGAACAGGACGAAGAAACTCTGAGAAAACTCAATCATACAACTGGTGGAGAAGAGAAGCTTTGGTTATGAAGAATCAGAATGAACCAAATCAACAATCACTGTTACAGCTTCAACTGAACAATATCAAATGCAATTGTACCAGCCAAGGGGGGTACCAGATGTTCCATATCCACAGCCAGTTTCTGGACAGACACAGAATTGGAGAGGAAGAGGACGAGAAGATTTAGAAGAAGGAGGAAGATTTCAGCTACACTTCCAGCAACTTTCAGAAGACTGTTATAATTGTGGACAGATTGGGTACTTTACCTGTGATGGAAATGCGTCAGGAGAAAACAACAGAGGAAGATAAAGGAGCAAGTGAAGATCACCTGTTAGTGCCTAGAAGATCCGGAAGGGGGGTGTCAGCTGAGAGCATCGATTAGAGAAGAAGAGAAAATAGCTAACAATTGAAGTAAAAACCGACCATTAGAAGTGATAGTGAATAGTGTAAAAACTTATCTGGGTTCAGCCTAAAGAGGTTAAACATCTCACTATGTAAAATTAACTAATTAGGATAGGGATTTGAGGTAGTAAAACAGTTAATTACTCTTAAGATACTAATATTAGAAGATACTGTTATTGCAGTATTGGAAAGAGATGCATTGTTTATTCTGGGTTACATTCTTACACTAAGAGATTTCAGGCTAGGCTAAAAGGTGTTTAGTCGTTTTGCCAAGTCTGTGTAAAAAAGTCAGAAGCAGGTGGGGAACTTTCTCAATCACGTATTCTAAAATTTGGTGGTAAAGGGATTTTGTGAATAAATCAGTGGAAAAGGTTTTTAAAGGTTATGAGAGAAAAGATTAGATTAAAATACGTTAGGAGGACTAGGTGGAAGGAACTCTAAGACAGTAAGCTAAGTTTCAAAGTTAGTAGTAAGAGAGAGAACAGTGGTGAAGGACATCTTAGAGTAGGAAGATCAAGGTAATTATAGGTGTATTTTTATAATCAAAAGTTTGAAAGTCAGGGATTAGAGAAAGGACTGAGAGTGGGGAAAAAGTGACACTAGTGGTGATAGATGGAAGTACAAGCAAAGACAACTTTTCTTTGGGGAAAATGGATGAAGCAACAATAAGGACATTAACACTTCAGTCTATTAAAACAACAGTGAGAAGCAATTTAACTCTTTCAACATTGATAGTTATTAAAGCCATAAATATATCGCATTTGATTATAAGGGAACCAATAGCTCCAGTACCAATTTTAGGGGAAAGAATACTTATTAGGGTTAGGATGGGGACGTTCCTCCCATATGGAGAGATAATTATGGAGAATAAGTATTGTTATCAGGACCAGATGTAGAAGCGGTGTCCCCTAGTCAAAGGAGGGATAGTTTGTACAACGATATGAAGTGGAAGAGGTTAGGAGTGACTGTTCACTTATTTGGCGTAATGTTACAGAGAAAGGTCAGGGAGAATATATGTGTACTTATCTAGTGCAAGCATTAGAATTTGTTCCGGTTAAGAATTATTGGTTAAAAGGCTATGTAATTCATAAAGTAACGCTTATGATGGAAGAGTTGAGGTCTGTTGTAGCCTCCACAGTCATTGAGGGAGTTCAGGAGGAGTAGGTTACAGTAGCCACTCCAACAGTAGATAATACACAGAGGATAACGGGAACTTTCGCACTAGAAGTCATTAAGGTTAATACATCAACTACTTTAATGGTAACTTTGGAAGGGATTAATGATACGATGGCAATAAGCAAATGTAGGAAGTATGACACCGACAACTTTTCTGAAATTAAAGGGGGGGTAGCAAGACGAATAGGGTTAAAATAGGAGAACAGATAGTAGTAGAGAGAATATAGATTTATCATGGAGGACAGGATGAGGTCTTTGATTTTAATGACAGACAAGGAGAGGTATCTGATCAGTACCGCTCGTTAGGGAAGAGAGAAACTATATGCATGTAGTTTGATTCTTCTGTTGTGAAAATTAGAGATAGATGGCAGGTAGGAATCTTTGGTTCCAGCAGCTCATTCTGTAAGATCAGGGAGGAATCTTGAGGGTCCATGTCTGGTTAGAATTCCAGTCAAACATGTTAGAGACGGTCGTTCGACCTCTATCAAGTATGTGTCAATCTTATGCGTTGTCATGACTGTGGTATCAGCAACAATCAGTAACAGATAAAATAATGTCGTTGTCAAAACATTTGTTTAAGCCTAGGTTTAGGTGTTATTGGGTTAAGTGAATTAACTTGTGTGAATTTGTTGGATGGTAAAGTAAAATCAGGTAACAGCGTAACTGAAGCATTTGAGGTGTAACCATTGAGGGTTAAAAGTTGTTTTTGTTCTAATAAACATATGAGGTAAGGGGTATGTTTATGGGAATATCAGATTGTGATGTTATATGATAACTTTGGGGAGCATGACCTTAAGGGTAGTAATGAGAAATATGTTACTTTTTATGTTCCAGGTAGTAGGAACAGCAGGACTTTGATGGTTAAAAGATTAGCTTTTGCCTGACAATGTGACTATGGGGAATTTTAGAGATATTTAGAGGGTTTGTGGTGATAAAGCATATATATTCTTACCCTATGGATAGACAGGATGTTGTTACATGTCAACGTTGAAGCTTCCATATGAAGTTTTTACCATTATAAGAGGGGTAGCACCGGACACAAATCTGAAGCTATATTTGAAATTGGATGAAAACAGACATGGCTACATGTCATAGTCCTTCAAGCCTATCATTGAAGGATGAATCTAAGGGAGAAGGGGGGACTTTTTCCATGGTATGGGGTAACATTTGGGAAGATCCTATTGATGATAATAGTTATACTTTTAGTTCAGATAGTTATATATGCATTGAAGAATATAAGGGATGTGTTTGGGAGATCTGAGAAGATTTGGTTGCAAGATCAGGTAGGCCAGTAGGGGCAGTGATGGGTTACATTTAATGGCAGCTTTGATAACACTGTGTGATGTTTGTAATTTGTTACTGATCTTTGAGAAAGCTATGATATTGAGATAGGTTGGAGAGTGATGCCTGGAGACAACACTCAGATGCCGGTGTTGACTGTTCCTGATCTGGATAAAGATGGACAAGTGGAACTGATGGATAAATATCATTTTGATTATTTGATCATTTTTCAATTTTTTTTCAATATTAGGGTGATGTTGGTATGATTTATGAATCAAAGGGGGGAATGGGTTTATGTGATTCATACATCATTTATATATCATTTTTATATTCTTAGTGGATATTGATGGTTAATTTGAAAGGGTTGTTTTGCAAAAGATACTGTTTGGTCGTTTCTTTTCTTTTCTTCCGAAGCATTTGGGGGAACATGTGACTCAAACAAGGACAATAGGAAGGGACAATATGAAGGGACAATATGACTGGAGGAGATGAAACAAGGAGGGTGTGGCTGATTCCATCATCAACAGTCCATTGGAAGAGGAGACTACGGGGAGATGAAGTGTAGTGGACTACATTCCAGTGTCTGCAATGAAATATAGACATGTGTAATACATAATTTGTGTCATATTCTTAGGTATTAATTTTTGTAGAATGATGTTTGATGTTATTGAATACATGTGAGGATCTTAGATGTTTTTGTTTATTTCGTGAATGTTTAGGGACAGAGAGGCTAGGCAGGGAGAGGTTCACTGTACGGTCCAATGGGTTGACCAGCCTTACAAGTGGATGTTTTTGGATAGGATTTTGTTTGCAGGGGCTTACATGTGTATTTAATTGCATCATAGTTTCAAATGCATTACATGGTTTATGAGGTTATCTGGGAGTACCGAAGGTGGTTGCCTGGGGCAGAGGGACGTGAGAGGAATTTACTGTCTTGATTGAGGAGGAAGGTTGCGGACCCCCCCCAAGTTGTCGCTTTACACTCCATAGAGATTGTTCATGTTGCATAGTAAGGTATTCACATTCATAAAGATAGTGATGTATTCACACTTCATAAACAGTTATTCATATTTCATAGAAAGGTATTTACACTCTAGAGGAGAATGTTTTTGGTTTAATGTTAAACCTACTCAATAAGATAAATTGTTACTAGTCATAATCCTATTCTGTTTGTTTTCGAGACTGTTCGTCTCGAAGGGGGGAATATCGTATATGAAGATTATGTCTTTGTTAAATGTTTTTCATGAAGAAATGGAATGTTGTTTATGTTAGTATATGTTTTAGTGTAACGTCACATACCACAGACCGGAAGTGTGTTGTAGACAGGGGAGACTGGGGATTGGCCAGAAGAGGGAGCATCATTGTTATAAATAGGGGGGGAAAACGAAGAAGAAAGTCAGAACGAGCAGCCATTCTGAGGCGTCACTCTCCAGGTGTCATGTCACCTGTAACTTATGCTGTAACCTCGTGATTTTAATAAAAGCCTCTAACACGATGCAGCATAAACGGACTCTTTGTTGACAGCAATAACTGGCCACCACTCATCCGATACGACAATAGCAATATACAAAAAACACTTGGTGAACATTGAAATACACAATTTAAATTAAATTACCTTTCACAGCCAAAAATGTTGCATTTCCATAGTTCATCCCATATATTGTCCCCATTCCACAAAAGTATGTTGCCTCATCTAATGTGCTGATATTTCTGATAATGAGATTATACACATATTCAGATTCCTCCACTTTGAAACGTGGGTTCTTAAACTCTCCTTTAAGTACAGGTTCTGATCCATAGGATACAGAAGCGACAAGATTGGGCAGTTGGCCAACAGTTTGTCTGTACCAGTACAGGAATTGTTGAGATTCCGCTTTGGGACATGGCAAAGATACAGTGTCTCCAAATAGACGTGTAGTCACTGGTATTGGTTGAGGAGCATCTTCAGTCTAAATCAGGTCTGCCAAAATGTGAATGTTATCAGATGTCAATTTGAAATGGAAATGGACAATGTTCAGCCTATGAATAACATAGCAGTAAGTCATCAAACTACTGCAATTCAAATTGCCTGACGCTATATCGGTCACATTGCTGTCCAAACTGAATATATTTCATTACCTTTAGATATGACATTCCAATAAGATAGTGTTATTCTTTACCGATTTTCAATTTTACTGTTCAGTAAAATACTATTTGAGATCAGGACATGCACTTACACACTTGAGAGAGAAGTCCCCAAAGAAGGTAGATTCTGATCATCTTGATATGGACTGACTGTAGCTTTAAACAATGTTTCTCTTTGTTACTATGAAAGACTGACTGACTAAATGAAAATAATTGTGGGCTGTTTAAAATCTAAGAATGACTTGATTGGTTAGGGGAAAGACATGCATCACTTCCTCTGTAACGTTTCCAACCTTTTTCAGCCATGTACTGTATGCAATCTAAAGATTTAAGGTGTGCACTAATTTGTTGGCCTACTTTACAGCAAGATATTGCTTAGTGATGCCCATATATCCCAGACACAGATTAAGCCTAGATCACGACTAAAAATATTTCCCATTGAAAGAGATATTTAGTCCAGGACTAGGCTTAATCTGTGTCTGGGAAACAGCCACTACAAATGCATGCTAACTTTAGCCACCAATAGCTAACAATCAATGGAAGTGATAGGGCAATTGTGCAGTGTTGTTTTATGGAACGATCACCTTTAAGTAGCATCAAACCAAATATGGAGTTTATTTGGCCATGAAAATTGCCCCTATCATTCCCATAGATTTTTAGCTAGGTGTGGCTAAAGTTAACTGAAGTCTGTAGTTCCTGTATAGAGAAAACCGACCAATGGATTACATTTTGTCTTGACACATAGACTACTTTCACAGTGAGGAACCATCTAACATGAAGTTGTACAATCCTGAAATTCCCCTTTAATGCTGAGTGTGACTCAAAAAAATAAAAGGTTTTTAATATGAATTTTAATATTTTGCAACATTATAGGGTCAAATACAAATGCAGATTGTTTACATTTTACTGACACTTGTAAGACTCAACATATTCAAGAACCAAAAAAATATCAAAATATATTGGATGCAAAGAGAAATACCATATATATATATATATATATATATATATATATATATATATATATATATATATATATATATATATATATATACAGTGGGGAGAACAAGTATTTGATACACTGACGATTTTGCAGGTTTTCCTACTTACAAAGCATGTAGAGGTCTGTAATTTTTATCATAGGTACACTTCAACTGTGAGAGATGGAATCTAAAACAAAAATCCAGAAAATTACATTGTATGATTTTTAAGTAATTAATTTGCATTTTATTGCATGACATAAGTATTTGATCACCTACCAACCAGTAAGAATTCCGGCTCTCACAGACCTGTTCGTTTTTCTTTAAGAAGCCCTCCTGTTCTCCACTCATTACCTGTATTAACTGCACCTGTTTGAACTCGTTACCTGTATAAAAGACACCTGTCCACACACTCAATCAAACAGACTCCAACCTCTCCACAATGGCCAAGACCAGAGAGCTGTTTAAGGACATCAGGGATAGAATTGTAGACCTGCACACGGCTGGGATGGGCTACAGGACAATAGGCAAGCAGCTTGGTGAGAAGGCAACAACTGTTGGCGCAATTATTAGAAAATGGAAGAAGTTCAAGATGACGGTTAATCACCCTCGGTCTGGGGCTCCATGCAAGATCTCACCTCATGGGGCATCAATGATCATGAGGAAGGTGAGGGATCAGCCCAGAACTACACGGCAGGACCTGGTCAATGACCTGAAGAGAGCTGGGACCACAGTCTCAAAGAAAATCATTAGTAACACACTACGCCGTCATTGATTAAAATCCTGCAGCGCACGCAAGGTCCCCCTGCTCAAGCCAGCGCATGTCCAGGCCCGTCTGAAGTTTGCCAATGACCATCTGGATGATCCAGAGGAGGAATGGGAGAAGTACATGTGGTCTGATGAGACAAAAATAGAGCTTGTTGGTCTAAACTCCAATCACCGTGTTTGGAGGAAGAAGAAGGATGAGTACAACCCCAAGAACACCATCCCAACCGTGAAGCATGGAGGTGGAAACATCATTCTTTGGGGATGCTTTTCTGCAAAGGGGACAGGACGACTGCACCGTATTGAGGGGAGGATGGATGGGGCCATGTATCGCGAGATCTTGGCCAACAACCTCCTTCCCTCAGTAAGAGCATTGAAGATGGGTCAAATACTTATGTCATGCAATAAAATGCAAATTAATTACTTAAAAATCATACAATGTGATTTTCTGGATTTTTGTTTCAGACTCCATCTCTCACACATGAAGTGTACCTATGATAAAAATTACAGACCTCTACATGCTTTGTAAGTAGGAAAACCTGCAAAATCGGCAGTGTATCAAATACTTGTTCTCCCCACTATATATATATAGTAAAAATAAAGAAAAACCCTTGAATGAGAATTTTTTTTATATATATATATATATAGAGATTTTTTTCTTATTCAAGGGTTTTTCTTTATTTTTACTATTTTCTAGATTGTAGAATAATAGTGAAGACATCAAAACTATGAAATAACACATATGGAATCATGTAGTAACCAAAAAATTGTTAAACAAATCAAAATATATTTTATATTTGAGATTCTTCAAAATAGCCACCCTTTGCCTTGATGACAGCTTTGCACACTGTTGGCATTCTCTCAACCAGCTTCATCTGGAATGCTTTTCCAACAGTCTTGAAGGAGCACTTGTTGGTGGCTTTTCCTTCACTCTTCGGTCCAACTCATTCCAAACCATCTCAATTAGGTTGAGTTCGGGGGATTCTGGAGGCCAGGTCATCTGATGCAGCACTCCATCACTCTCCTTCTTGGTCAAATAGCCCTTACACAGCCTGGAGGAATGTTGGGTCATTGTCCTGTTGAAAAACAAATGATAGTCCCACTAAGCGCAAACCAGATGGGATGGCGTATGGCTGCAGAATGCTGTGGTAGCCATGCTGGTTAAGTGTGCCTTGAATTCTAAATAAATTCCGACAGTCTATTGCCCAAGTTTCAGATGTTTTTTTCACTTCCACTCTACATGCACAGTTTTGTCAAATCAAATCACATTTTATTTGTAACATGCTTCGTAAACAACAGGTGTAGACTAACAACGAAATGCTTACTTACGGGCCCTTCCCAACAATGCAGAGAGAAAAATAGAATGGCTATATACACAGGGTACCAGTACCGAGTCGGTGTGCAGGGGTACAAGGTAATTGAGGTAGATATATACATATAGGTAGGGATAAAGTGACTAGGCAACAGGATAGATGTTAAGCAGTAGCAGCAGCGCATGTGATGAGTCAAAAGAGTTAGTGCAAAAGGGGGTCAATGCAGATAGTAAGGTCAGCTATTTGGTTAACTATTTAACTAACTATTTAGGCCTTGGGGGTAGAAGATGTTCAGGGACGTGTCGGTTCCAGACTTGGTGCATCGCCACTGCTTGCCATGCAGTACCAGAGAGAACAGTCCATGACCTGGGTGGCTGGAGCCCCCGACCACCTCCAAGGCCCTCCTCCGACACCGCCCGGTACAGAGGCCCTGGATGTCAGGGAGCCAGGCCCCAGTGATGTACTGGGCCGTATGCACCAAATATATTGCCAAATATACATATTCATAGATTTATGAAGTATGAGTTGTGGTAGAAATATTTGACTCAAAAGTAGTCAACTCAAAAATATCTCTCAAGAAATCCAAAAATTAGACTTGTATTATCTAATAACAAAAGCCGAGCAGTTCCATGGAACAACTGTCTCTCTTAGGCTTAGAGCTCCCTTTTATACACACACAAATGCACAAACATGCTTACATGGCATATACAGTTACTCCCCCTATGGCAAATTCCTAACTTATTTTAGTTCTGCGCCACCCTTCTCTTTCAACGTCCAGCTGTCACACATGGTCCACTCCAAAAGGTCATGAATACTTTTCTATATGAAGCCTCTCATTCTATTGGTTGCTTGGCTCAGGCCCTTTCTTAAAAAAGAATATACATACATTAAATCACAGTTACATACTGCATTGACTATATTCCTTATTTAAGCATGCATCTGGAATATAAAATATCAAACATGTTTATTATATTTTACCTTTGGCAACTCCCTACATTTGCCTTAATGATACATAAAATATCTCTATATAATCCCCCCTTTGGGACTTTCCAACAAAGTCCCAATAATACAAAGATTAATTTTAAAAATGAATGAAAGCATGTGCATTTACTTATTCTTAGCCTTGCCATATGTGGTTACATTTTACATGCATATATTTAAACCAATATATCTTCCTCATTACTTGACCCATCCTGATGAGGACCCAGAGCCCAGTCAGGTTTTGGTTACAAGTCTGGAAGGTTTTCCTCTAAATTAACCTCCAAAGTTTTCTATTGGGCTTTGTAACCATGGCAAGCCCATCCACCCCCAGGAACAACTCCATACAAACATTCAGGATTCCCAAATGGACAGTCCATTGGTCCTCCTTTAACATTACAAGATTACCCATATTTATTTACATACTGTCCTGGAGCTCCCTGAACTGGGTGTATTTATTTGGCTGAACTAGTAACAATGGTCTGTAGAGTCATTTGTTTTACTGTGGTTTGAATCAAAAGTGATTTTAACAGAGGTAGTATACAACAAAACACTACTCCCATCACTACAAGTGATATTCCTATCATTATTGCCATTTTTGTAAACATTGCACCCCATTTTCCCACAGTTAAGTCCATCCAGTCCCAAACATGAGCATCATGCCCAGCATTGTCCTTAACCTCTTTTTGTAGTCCTTTGAGCTTAGTCATTGCTTCAGTGAATGAACCATCCGGGGCAGTATTATTGGGGATAAAAGTACAACATTCATCTCCAAACATAACACAAACTCCACCTTTTTCCGCTAATAACCAGTTTAGAGCCTGCCTATTCTGCCATGTCATTCTACTGGTAGCCTGTACTTGCTCTCCTAGGGCTGATAATGCAGATTCTGTGTAATTAATAAGCCTTTGTTGATTATAATAAATATAATTGATCCATTCTAGGTTTTTGTTGGTTGAAATCCAGACAAATATTGATTCAAATCCTGCTTTAATTTAATATCTTGCCTTATATTCCTTTGGAATTCCTCTGGGTTGACCTATTGCATCTAAATATACATTGGGGTCATGTTCATATGAAGTTTTTACCCTTTTATTACTAT